GCTGGTGTTGGCCCACTGTGCTTCATTAAGTCCAGGGTCAATGCAGCCGTCTACCAGGAGATTTTGGAGCACTTCATGCTTCCTTCCACAGACGAGCTTTATGGGGATGCTGACTTCATTTTCCAGCAGGACTTGGCACCTGCCCACACTGCCAAAAGCACAAAAACCTAATTCAATGACCATGGGATTACTGTGCTTGATTGGCCAGCAAACTCGCCTGACCTGAACCCCATAGAGAATCTATGGGGCATTGCTAAGAGAAATATGAGAGACATGAGACCAAACAATGCAGAAGAGCTGAAGGCTGCTATTGAAGCATCCTGGTCTTCCATAATGCCTCAGCAGTGCCACAGGCTGATAGCTTCCATGACAAGCCACTTTGAGGCAGTAATTGCTGCAAAAGGGGCCCAAACCAAGTACTGAGTACATATGCATGCTTATACTTTTCAGAGGTCCGATATTGTTCTATGTACAATCCTTGTTTTATTGATTGCATGTAATATTCTAATTTTCTGAGATTGTGGATTTGGGGTTTTCATGAGCTGTAAGCCATAATCATCACAATTATGACAAATCACGGCTTGAACTATCTTGCATTGCATGTAATGAGTCTCTCTCATATATTAGTTTCACCTTTTAAGTTGCATTACTGAAATAAATTAACTTTTGCATGATATTCTAATTTTTTGAGTTTCACCTGTAAAAGTGATAAAGGTCATTAAACATTGTATGTTTAGTATTACTTTGAGCAGCTTCACACTGCCACGGGTCAGTCCTGCTGTGCTTTTGGTGCAGCTGACCCGAAGGTTTCATGCAGGTTAGCTGGTCCTTCCTATAGACTTCTATGATGTCTGTGGTTTTGGTGACATTTCAGAAAGTGCACCAAAGATTCAGCATATAGGAGAATTGTTGCGCTTTCTGAAACCACACCAAAACTGGAGAACCTCATAGAAGTGTATGGGAAAGTACAGCTATTCCACGTGAAAACCACAGGTTAGCTGCACTTTAACAAAAAAGCGCAGCGGGGCACTGTGGAGCTGCCCTTTAAGAATGTCGAGTTGGGTCGCGTATGGTTGGCCTCACTTTTCATGTGTTGTTCCCTGACCGATGACAAATGTATACAAAGAGGTCAATAGGAAACATTTTGCTTATTAAACTGATAAAATGTATTTCTGTTTTGTTTATAGTGGAGTTGCTATTGTTTGTTTGCTTTTGCAGTGTAATATTGTATTTTTATTTAGATCGTTCATGTAATGCTTCATGGATTTAATTTGATGCTGTTTATATTCAGATTTTTATAAACTTGAAAATAGATATTCTGTGGAATTGTTCAATTTTTTGTTTTGCTTTTGTTTTCTGTTTATTAGTGACCTAGGTAATTTCCAGGTCATGGATACCCGACTGTGTCTCCAGGGTGCTGGGACCCTTGCAATCATTCAGAATGCTGTCATCAATATTTTTGTTGTGTATTTATAATGCTGATGGTCAGAGTCTTCTCAAACCAGGAATATATCTCTCAGGACTGTGGCCCTGTGTATGAACAATGCGCATAGGAGAATGCAAATAAACATACACACAGAGGTGCAAGTTTATGTGTCACATTGGTGCCACCAAGCAGATACTAACAGCCAGAATCAAAGTAAAGTTGCTGAGCTGTACCATCTAACTCAGGGATCTCCAAACTTTACTGTCCTTCAAACTTTAGGGGGGCCGTACTGTGCCCAGTGGGAGTAGAAAATGTCCTGGTGTCAGTGGGAAGAATAGTGCTCCATTATTGGTATTAGGGGCAGTAATAGTGCCCCATCGTTGGTATCAATGGGAGGAATATTATCCCATTGTTGGTGTCAGTGGGAGGAATAGTGCCCCATTGTTGGTGTTAGTGGGAGGAATAGTGCCCCATCATTAGTGTCAGTGGGAGGTGTAGTGCCCCATCATTGGTATCAGTGGGAGGAATAGTGCCCCATCAATGGTGTCAGTGGGAGGAATAGTGTCCCATCATTGATGTTCCTGGGAGGAATAGTGTCCTATTGTTGGCGTCAGTGGGAGTAATAGTGCCCTATCCTTGGTAAAAATGGGGAAAACAGTACCCTGTCATTGGTAGGGTTGCCACCTCATCCCCTTAAAACTGAACACGTATTATTCACAGAGGTTCTGAGGCTAATTTAATACAGATAAGGCACTATTTGAGTTCAATTACCACCTTAATCAGCCACAGAACCTGTGTAATTAATATGTGTTCAGTTTTAAAGGGATGAGGTGGCAACCCTAGTCATTGGTCTCAATGGGAGGAATAGTGTCCCATTGTTGGTGTCAGTAAAATGACTAGGGCCCCATTGTCAGTGGCACGAAATGCTGACAGTTGGGGGACTAAGGCCCCAAGGGCTGGATAAAAGCAAGCAAAGAGCCACATCCAGCCCCTGGGTCACAGTTTGGAGACCACTGTTCTAACTGATATGTACCTAAGCAACTGCCAAAGTAAAATGTAAACCCCTATTGCTAGAATCATGAAAAACTATTTTTGTGCTGTTAAAAATATAAATAAATGAAATGGAAAGGTTATTTTAGGGCATTTATATATAAACAGAAACCATAACATATAGTCTTTACTCATTATTGGCTTCACATTTTGTATATGTATATTTTCCATGGTTAGGCATAAAAGGAAACTCATCTAATTTTTTTCTTACCTCTTTCTTGCACAGTTCCTCCATTCTGAGTGATGCTGCCATTTAAAAAATAGTAATTCACAGCTGGGTTTTTCCTTTTTTTTTCTGCCGGTCTATTGATGATGTCATGTACCGTACCACAGCACACTGTTGGGGAAAAAAGACTTTACCCTGAAATCTCGTAAGAAAAGTAAAAGCTTATTTTTGTTATTACAATTAATGTCACACAAAACATGGTGCTAGATGAGGCTCACACACTGTGCCTTTTATTTCTTTTATTTCCCCAAGATCTTGCAAGATCTCACTGTTAGGAAACTAGATCTCCCAGAAAGGTAATGGTGACATAGCCTTCCCAGGGGCATCTGTGAGTCTGGGACTATGGCACTAGTGCCTCTGAAGACCAGGAAGTGTGAAACCCTTAACAATAATTAATAGCCAATATATAGACTTTGAAAAATGACTATAAAATAATTTAAAATCAGAATGCAGAGCTGCATGTGGATGTGTTTTTTTAATGAAAAGATGAACGGGGATAAATGACCACTTTGCAGCAAATCATATGTGTGTTGTGGTAAACTGTATTAAAAATAAATAAATAAAAGGGTTCCCGACAGATTTTTGATACATTCTAGTGCAATGCATGTTAAACATGAAATAAGGCACATAACGCGCATGTGATATTGCAATGCACAGGTTTAATACATGAACACACATTGATAGGATTGTTTAGATTAAAAGAAGGCAGCTATATGCACCTAAGTCTCATGTCCAGGTCCCTCATTGCCGCTGTTTCTGGATGCTGGGGAACCACTAATTTAGTTCTGCAATAGTACCTGAGATGGCTGGATCTCTCAGCAACCCAACGCTGATATCAGTCCTCTTCTGGATCCTGAGAGCACCACACTGCTGGATATCCTATAGGAAGTGTCCACATCATGCAGGCAGTGATGTGGACACCAAAAGAAGAACCCATGCAGGATGTAAACAGAAGAGAAACACTTGGGGCTGGAAGGTCATGTGACCACAAGTATAGGTAAGTGAAAAAGGTTTTTAGAGATGAGTTTTTTCACATCCAGTGATTATTATTATTATTATACAGTATTTATATAGCGCCAACAGTTTGCTCAGCGCTTTACAATATAAAGGGAGACAGTACAGCAACAAATACAGTTCAATACAAGAGGGATAGGAGGTCCCTGCTCCTTGGAGCTTACAATCTAAGAGGGAGGGACTGTGATCAGTTGAAGGGGGAGGAGGGGGTGGAAACTATCCCAAAGTGGGGCTCCCATGCAAGTCATTCTAAACAACACAAGGTAGAGACCTATGTATAATCCTGCTCCTAAGACACATCTAGAAGAAATTGTTTTTTTTTAAAACTATTTTTAGGTATGCTTTGTAAGTGTGAACATGTAACCAATATATAGTGGGGGGTTTCTCAAATTTGACTACAAAAGGTGTAAATACACTTCAAGGCCTCGTTCACACCCACAGTTACAATGAACACATGACTGCTGGTGTGAGCACAGCCATCCCGGTGACAATTCATTCAGTTCTGTTCACCACAGCGACATTACAAAGCTGTGATTTTACATCACTACATGCTGCTCTGAAAAAAGTACTGCACTGCAGCAGAGTGGTGTGAACTGACTTCATAGCAAACAAAGCTAATTGCTTTACGTTGGGACTGTGCTGGAGAAGGCTAACCACGCAGCCCAGGGCTATTGCTCTGAATGGGCCCTAGGACCTCATGCACTGGCTGTATTGATTTAATGCAGGATCTTGCTGGCAGCAACGTCCTGGATAAAATGAACTCAAACAGATATACACCCACTTATGTCCACATGAACTGAGAGACGTATTTCATTCTGTGCCTGTGCCACTGATTACACACTATTGATGTTTAAGGGTCAGTCCTGAGCAGTAGTGCATAAGGTCCATTTATGCTGTACAGTACTCATGCACATGGACATACAGTAAATATGTCTGTACGTACCTGTATTTGTGTCACATTTGGGAAATGACCCCCATAAGTGTGCATGTGTAAACACAAGTGCCGCTAATTACAGGGATATACCTATGTACAGCATATTATGTAAGTTCTATGGGCAGAATTACACACCAGCTGGGGCTCCTTGGCATTGCAAAGACAAGTGCAGGGGCAGACTGACCATTTGGAAACTCGGGCACTGCCCGAGGGCCCGTGGTCAGTAGGGGGCCCCAAGAGATGCCCCTGGTACCTTTTTCATAGGCTTTTTTGAGTTTGGGCAAGGACACAAGGGCCCCATGATCCCCTATTGCCCGGGGGCCCTTTGAGTTGTGTATTTTATGCTGTACACCCATATGTGTGTTTGTACATCTATTTGCATGAGCCCTTAATGCTAGCACAAATGTTTACATGATACCGCATAAAATACACCTGTATTTGCAGTACATTAGGGAAATTACACCCATATGCTTGCCTGTGCATAATCAAGTACCACAGTTACAGGCATATATATAGTTTATATTTTCTTAATGCCTTTAACATTAGCACTAACATTTACATCAGTAAATACAATCAAACCACGAATGCAGTTTACAGAAGTGTTACAGACCAAAGCGGAGCAGTGTGACTGGGCCTATGACATACAGTACTGCTGCATTCAGATTGCAAATGACAGATCTGAATGCAGCAAATTGTACACTTGTGTACATGAGCCCTTAGCTACAACAACACTAATAGTAGTAGTATTAACAATATGATGATGCTCAACAGCAGAGTACTTTTTAACCACAAAAACAGTAATAGTCATTATAATAATGATACAAAGATGATGAGGATCGTGTTGCCTAGCAGAGAGCTTACTGTATTACCAACACAATAGTAATAATAATTATATTAATAAGAAGAAGTAGGAGGTGATGATAATGACTGTGTTTCCCAGCAGAGCCCTTAGTAGCCACAACAACAACAATAAGAAGAAGATGATGATGGATGATGACGACTATGTTCCCCAGCAGAGCCCTTATTAGCTACAACAACAGGAATGACAAAGTAGTAAAAACAATAATAATATGTAGATGATAAGGATCACATTCCCCAGCAGAGCCCTAATAAGCAGCGTCATCAGCAATAATAATATGAAAATGAGATGAACCATGTTCCCCAACAGAGCTCTTATTAGCCACAAGAACAATAATAATAATATGAACTTAAAGATGACTGTGTTTCAAAACAGAGTCTTTATTAGACACAGTAATAATAATAATAATAATAATAATAATATGAAGACGATGAACACAGTTTTTACCAGAAGAGCCCTTATTACTCAGAACAAAAGTAAGAATAATAATCATAATTATTATTATTAAGATGATATGGACCATGGTCTGCAGCAGAGCTCTTATTAGCCACAAGAACAATAATAATGATATGAACATGAAGATGAGTGTTTCAAAACATGGCCTTCATTAGAAATAATAATAATAATATGATGAACACTATGTTCCCCACCAGAGCCTGTATTACCCGAAACAAAAGTAACTAAAAAAAATACTGCTACTACTACTAATAATAATAATAATTATTATTATTATTAGATGATATAGACCATGGTCCCCAGCAGAGCCCTTATTAGCCACAATAATAATTTGAAGATGACATTGTTTCAAAGCAAAACCTTTATTATTATTAACAATAATAATAATAATAATTATTATTATTATTATTATTAATAATAAAGGTTTTGCTTTGAAGCAATGTCATCTTCATATTATTAATATTGCTCTTATTAATAATAAATATAATTATTATTATTAGATGATATGGACTATGATCCCCAGCAGAGCTCTTATTATCCACAAGAGCAATATTAATAATATGAAGATGACATTGCTTCAAATCAGGGCCTGTTCTAGACACAGTAATAGTAATAATAATATTAATAATAATATGAAGCCCTTTTAGCCACAGGAACAATAATAATAATAATATGAGCATGGCAGTGTTTAAAAGCAGAGCTTTTATTAGACACAGTAACAACAACAGTAATAATAATAACAATATATATTATTGTTGTTATTATTATTACTATTACTCGAAGATTATATAGACCATGTTCCCCAGCAAAGCCCTTATTAGCCACAGCAACAGTAATAATAATAATAATAATAATAAAATAAATCAATCTATATTATTTTTGTATTAATATTATTCTAAATTATATAGACCATGTTCCCCAGCAAAGCCCTTATTAGCCACAGCAACAGTAATAATAATAATAATAATAATAAAATAAATCAATCTATATTATTTTTGTATTATTATTATTCTAAATTATATAGACCATGTTCCCCAGCAGAGCACTTATTAGCCACAGCAACAGTAATAGTAATAATAATAATAATATAAAATAAATCAATCTATATTATTTTTGTTATTATTATTATTCAAAGATGATATAGACCATGTTCCCCAGCAAAGCCTTTATTAGCCACAGCAACAGTAATAATAATAATAATAATAATAATAAAATAAATCAATCTATATTATTTTTGTTATTATTATTATTCGAAGATGATATAGACCATGTTCCCCATCAGAGCACTTATTAGCCACAGAAACAGTAAAAATAATAATAATAATAATACGGAGATGCTATGGACCATGTTCCCAGAAGAGCCCTTATTAGCCCAAAGATTAATAATAATGAGATGAATATGAAGATGCCAGTGTTGCCGAGCACAGCCCCGATCAGACACAGGAATGGCAATATGATGATGATGATGGTGTCCCCCCTATGTCTGGGACTGGGCAGGAGCTCTCTTGTAGGGACCTCTTCCCACTTGCAGCCAGCTGGTGGGCTCATGTCATTGTGCTGGGAGAGGAGGCAGAGAAGGGGCGGCTCCATGTGCTCCTAATTCCCCCACCATTGGATTACTTAGTTGTAAGTGATGAGATCAGCAGGGATCAGCTTTCAGGATGGGGCACTGCTTCAGCAGCAGGCTCTTCCCATCTGGGCTGTCTCTCTCCTATGCAGGCGCTGGGGGTGACAAAGGTAATCTTTAAACACAAAGCCCAAGTGCCCCCTTAGGGCTCCGCTGAAAAGGAGAAGACATAAAGGAGATCTGGAGAGGAGAGCCTGTGTGCTGGATGGCTGTGTCAGCCCTGATCTGTGACATGCTGCTGAGAAGAGTAGATTTTGGGGGAGGCAGTTAGCTGTGCTGCACTGTATCTGTGGACCGGAGAGAAAACACACAACTGTATTCCTCCACTGTGCCTACATTGGGAGTATCATCATTCCTCCAGGAACTTTATCTGGATACCCAGGCTGCTGCTGCTGCTGGAAGCTGTGCTATCTACCCCCTGGGTAGGCTGGGAGTTGTACTTCTCCAAGGATCCTTATTTTTTTTACTCTTTCTTGGATTTTGGGCTTTAATGATACCCTCTGGATGTGTGATTGCTAAGTGAGAGGTAAGTGCTGTGTGTGATCACCCCAACTCCACCTTTGTATAATCCTGAAGGTTTGCAGGGGAAGCATTGCTCTATGAAGCTGTCTGGAGCCACAATTCTTTGTACATTGCTTGCTTGTGATGTTTGTGTTATGAAAATCAGATCTTTGTTTTAGAAACAGACATCTTGTGAGGTCAGCCAGCATCAATGAACTGTGTGCCAGCAGATCCTGTCTGCTTTCTGTAGTGGTACTCAGTGTTGACTTGTGTGCATCATACCAGTGTTCATGGGCTGAATTATATAGCAGTACTCAACAATGACTTGTGTACATCACATTAGTGTCCATGGGCTGCATTCTATAGCAGTACTCAACAATGACTTGTGTACATCACATATGACTTTTGTACATCACATTAGTGTCCATGGGCTGCATTCTATAGCAGTACTCAGCAATGACTTGTGTACATCACATTAGTGTCCATGGGCTGCATTCTATAGCATACTCAGCAATGACTTGTGTACATCACATATGACTTTTGTACATCACATTAGTGTCCATGGGCTGCATTCTATAGCAGTACTCAGCAATGACTTGTGTACATCACTATTAGTGTCCATGGGCTGCATTCTATAGTAGTACTCAGCAATGACTTGTGTACATCACATTAGTGTCCATGGGCTGCATTCTATAGCAGTACTCAGCAATGACTTGTGTACATCACATTAGTGTCCATGGGCTGCATTCTATAGCAGTACTCAGCAATGACTTGTGTACATCACATTAGTGTTCCATGGGCTGAATTCTATAGCAGTACTCAACAATGACTTGTGTACATCACACCAGTGTTCATGGGCTGAATTCTATAGCAGTACTCAACAATGACTTGTGTACATCACACTAGTGTTCATGGGCTGACTTCTATAGCAGTACTCAACAATGACCTTTGTACCTAACACCAGTGTCCATGGGCTGCATTCTATACCACTACTCAACAATGACCTGTGTACATCACATATGACTTGTTGTACATCACATTAGTGTCCATGGGCTGCATTCTATAGCAGTACTCAGCAATGACTTGTGTACATCACATTAGTGTCCATGGGCTGCATTCTATAGCAGTACTCAGCAATGACTTGTGTACATCACATTAGTGTCCATGGGCTGAATTCTATAGCAGTACTCAACAATGACTTGTGTACATCACACACCAGTGTTCATGGGCTGAATTCTATAGCAGTACTCAACAATGACCTTTGTACCTAACACCAGTGTCCATGGGCTGCATTCTATACCAGTACTCAACAATGACTTGTGTACATCACATATGACTTTTGTACATCACATTAGTGTCCATGGGCTGCATTCTATAGCAGCACTCAGCAATGACTTGTGTACATCAAATTAGTGTCCATGGGCTGCATTCTATAGCAGTACTCAGCAATGACTTGTGTACATCACATTAGTGTCCATGGGCTGAATTCTATAGCAGTACTCAACAATGACTTGTGTACATCACACCAGTGTTCATGGGCTGAATTCTATAGCAGTACTCAACAATGACTTGTGTACATCACACCAGTGTTCATGGGCTGAATTCTATTGCAGTACTCAACAATGACTTATGTACATCACACTAGTGTTCATGGGCTGACTTCTATAGCAGTACTCAACAATGACCTGTGTACCTAACACCAGTGTCCATGGGCTGCATTCTATAGCAGTACTCAGCAATGACTTGTGTACATCACACTAGTGCCTATGGGCTGAATTCTATAGCAGTACTCAACAATGACTTGTGTACATCACACCAGTGTTCATGGGCTGAATTCTATAGCAGTACTCAACAATGACCTGTGTACCTAACACCAGTGTCCATGGGCTGAATTCTATAATGGTACTCAACAATGAACTGTGTAAACCACACTAGTGCCTATATGCTGAATTGTATAGCAGTACTCAACAATGAATTGTGTACAT